GGGTCTATCCTGTATGGGTTTGTTGAACTTCTTGGGTGGCTATCTTCTCATCTTTTATGATATTATGATAAACCTTCATAAATTTTCTCCTTCCTTTTTTTTTTTTGTCTCTTGTTCTGGGATTCCTGTCGCACATGGGTTATTCCTCTTAATAATGCCCCCACATAGCTCAAGCTTTCATCATTCTTTTTTGTGAATGTTTTTCAAAGAAATTAGTATCAAACTTGTCCTCTGTTTCACTGATCCTGTGTTCCATTGATTCAGTTCTATTCCTATGTGCTCCCATTGAGTTATCTATTTTGGAAATTTTATTGTTAATCTGGATTTCTACTTGCTATTTTTGTGTGGTATCTAATTGTTTGTTTTGTCATTTTGTTCTTGTATTGTTTTCCTGAATTCTTTTAGAGTTTTATCTGTGTTTGTCTTGATTTTGTCTGGTTTTCCTTGATATCTTGAAGGATCCTGAATGTAAGTCTTTTGAATTCCTTATCGAATAGTTCCATTACCGTTTCTTCCTCAGGGAGGTTTTCTGCCCTTTACTTGGATCACTTGCCTGGAGCTGTCTTATGCTGCTGCTTATGTGATTTGATGTGTTTTTGTCTCCAAGACATTAAAATGTTGTATGTATTGATTGTATTGTATGTTCGTTTGCTTTGCCCTGTTGTTTGTTTGTTTGATTTTTATGTATCTGGGCTGACAGAATGGACGTGCTACTCTGGTCACTAGGTTGGCAGCACTGGTTCTCAGCACCTGTCTCCAGGTGAGTGGAGGAGTAGCAGCTGGGAGTATGAGTGCAAATCTCTCTTTGCTCGTCATGTGGAGCAGCTCGGGGGGGGGGGCAGGCTTTGGCCACTATCTGGCATGGATCCAGTGGCACAGGAATGGGGGTAGCACTCACCATGTGGGTTGGGTGGCAGGTGTGGTGGGTGTGGCGGGCAAATGGGGGCTTCAGTGGAGGGGCAGAAGTGGTGGGATCATTGATGGCGGGCTGGCAAGGTGCTATGTGTTTGCCACCACTTGCTAGGTCAAGTGGTTGGGTAATGGGGGATATGCGTGAGGTCATATATTTATCTCCACTCACTCAGTGGGGGGTGGGAAGGAGTGCATAGTGGTGGGTGGGCACCCAGTCGTGTGGTTGCCACCACTCAGCAGGTTGGAGGAGGGGTTGGTAGTGGCTGAGTACGTATTTGTGGTCGCTGCCACTTGCCAGGTCGGGGGCAGGTCGAGGCTGAGCACTCACATGGGCACATGGTCACCTCTGCTCGCCTGGTGGGGGAGGTGGCTAGCGCCTGGTCACCTCCGCTCAGCAGGTCGGGGAGGTGGTTGGTGGGCAGGTGTGCGTGGGGTAACTGCTGTTTGCCAGGTTGAGGGGAGTCTTGGTTAGGTGCACTGCCGTTCTCCAAGTCAGGGAGGGTGAGTGGCCAGAGATGAGTGTGAGGGAGCATGCTTCTGCTTGTCAGGTGGGTCAAAAGGGGTGACAGATGGGGGGCTGTATTGTGGTTCTCAGTCAGGCTGAGAATCTGGGGTATGGAACACTCCACTACCTCCTGTCAGGAGGGTGAGGAGAGGGGGAGTGTGTCCCTTCAGTTAGCAGACATTAGTGCCCTGGCACTTCCCATCCACTGCACCAGCAGTCAGTACCTGCCCTTGGTCAAATTTGGGCACGTGGGGTCTAGCTGGTTGGTGAACCTCTCTCAGTGAAGCACAGGTCCACCACCTCATGCATGCCACTTACCCCAGAAGCCCAGGGCTGCCTCTCATGAGTACAGCCAGCTCGGGATTCTGGCTCCCTCCCTACTCTGTGCACAGCAGAATCAGAGTTTTTGCCCTCCTTTGGGTTTTCCCTGGTAGTGTAGTGCCTAAGGCATTTGACTGCTAACTAGAAGGCTGGCAGTTCAAACCCACCAGCCACTCCTCAGAGGGAAGATTGGGCAATCTACTCCCGTAGAGGTACCACCTTGGAAACCCAAGGAGGGTTGCTGTGAGTCAGGATTGACTCGATGGCAGTGGGTTTGGGTTTGGGTTTGGGTTTGGAGGTCCGGATCACAATCCGCTTGTCTTTCTTTAATCTAGGTGTGTTTATACAGTTCCTCTGTCTCTTATGGGAATGTTGTGAAGTTACTTTCCTGTAATTTTCAGAATTCCTGTGCTTTGCACCTAGAGTCACTACTGGCTTTGTCTCAGGATGGCCACATTGCACCAGGCCGGCTGGCAGTGCCCTTCCACGCCCTGTTATCCTTGCTGGCTGTGTTCTGAAATTCAGTTGTGTCCTCTAGTTGGTGTTCAATTCAGTTCCTCACTTTTTGATGTTTGGGGTTCCAGGGTTATTGTCTGCCTCTCTTTCACTTGGTTCTTTGGGTCTTTGCTGTAGAGGATGGATGATGCAGCTAAGCTGCCGTGTTGGTTGGTTGTGCTCCTAGTTTTCTTTAACTTTCAACCTGTGTCTGTATATTTAAAGTGTATCTCTTCTGGGTCTTACTTTTTCATCCATTTTGACAATCTCTGCCTTTTAATTCTATTTTTTAATCATTTATTGCATGCCTGTTTGCATTTTTTCCCCCAGCAGATGCTCTCTGTGTTACAGATACACATGCTTGATATTTTAGGGTCAATATTGCATCAGCTCACTTTAAATATAGAAATCTTCTAACTGTTTAGGTAACTTACTCTTTCTTCTCACTTACTATGCTACAGTTGTCATATCTACATACGTTGTAAACCCTAATCTGCTTCCAGCCGCTCAGTCTTCCCAGGGTTGGTCTCCACTGCTTACTCTTTGTTGAATATGGGTCATGTTTTCCTGGGTTTTCTGTATGTCTGGTAGTTGAGGTATATCCTGAACATTGCAGGAGGTATGTGTGATAGTCAGAACTCTGGGTTCTGTCCTATTCCTTTGAAGAATAATAAGTTTTTTAAGGGAGCATTTAACTTCTCTGAACTCACGCCAAGTTCCGTCTCCCCTGAAGTGGGCAGCCACCGACGTGTGTTTGGTTCTTGTGTTTTAGCTGGGCTGCTTGGGGTCTGCTGCGCCCATGCGTGTTTCATGATGGGTCAGCCAGGGAGTCAAGCACAGTTTGTACTCAGAATTTGGGGCTCCTTCTCTGCTTCTCTCTTTCTCGGGGCTTCCAGCCTCACTTCCATGTGTGGTCAGCTCAAGCTCTGGATTTTCTGGATTTCCCATCTGACTTTTAGCCACCAGTCCATGGTCCGGACTAATGCCTGCCCTCAGGCAAAATAAATCACGTGAAGAGTGGGGAATTTGTCTGGTGCTGTGCCCTTCTTCCAAGCCTGACTCCCTGCAGTTCCTTCCTGCGTTGGTTGCTGTCTGTGTAGCCCTTGGGTCGTTGTTTTTCCATTTGGCTCGCATTCATAGCTCTATCTGTGAGAAGGTTGTCCCACAAGGAGCTGCCCTGCCACCCAGAAGCAGAGCCCAGTGCTGAAGTGAGCCACTCGAGTCCCGGGTTACGAGCGAGATCTGCTCCTAACCACGTCTTCAAGAATTTGTCAGGCCCTCAGACTGGTTCTGCTGGGTTCGTTCATGGTCGAAGGTGCTGCCAGAACAGACTCAAAATTTTATGGCTGTAGCAGACTGGAAAGATAGCCAGAATGGGAAAAGTTGTGGGTATTGCTAGAAACTTAATCTCTGTCTTGTAAAACAAGGACACTGTATGCACAGCAACCAAATCTCTTGCCCTCACATTTTGAGCACAGTCCGAAGCAGCACTGTCCCTGCTCAGAGATGGCGGCCAACCACGCCTCTTTGAATGTGTCGCCAGCTCGCCACAGTCCTGCCAAGAATCTAGTCTCATGCATCAGGCTCCCAAGAGGCACCACGCCTCTGCTAAGTCTCCCGTTCCAGGGCTGTGACCCATAACTTTTCCCGTTCCAGGAACCTGCCAAGTTGTAAACCTTCGTATCTGTTCTGTTACGCTTTATGGGCCATGGCAGAACCGGTTTAAGGGACAAATAGTTGTTGTCCATAATTTGGATATTCCAACCCAGGACTGCCTGTACAGCAGCATCGATTCTACCAAAATGTGGCCCTGCACATCCCTCTGACAGCTGCTTTGTGGATTTCCCCTCGTTAGACTTCCTGAGTGGAGAGGGGGACAGAGGGTTAGCACCAGGAGATGGCATTTTCTCTTTCTCCTGAGTCTGAGCACTGAGTGAGTTATCACATGTTGTCACAGAAACGGGAGCACCCTCTGTGCTACAAGGAAGGGAGGGACAGACCTACTGTGTACTGGACACACACCGGGTGCTTTATCTGACATCATTCTCATAGTTGTTCCTGGAGACCAGAAGACTATACACCAATGCTGTATTTGCCTTCTGAAATCATGCTAACATTCCCTTAGGTTCGCAATAATTTTCTGCAGTAGGAAAAGGAGCTTACTATTTGCTGGCAATTCATAAAGAATGGCTGCACGGCCCAAGCAGGTTTGGTTTCTCATCTGTGCAGGTCATAGGGCTTTATCGTTCTTCAGGTCTCACAGGCAGCGTGCACGTGAGACGGTAGCACTCAATTGACCCTGCTACCAACCACAACTGCGGTTTCAAGGGAGCAGCCCGTTCGCTTTTCTGATGGTGACAGGTCAGCCAGTTCTGAATTGGTTCTATTGTTTTCATTTGAAGCTTCCAAATCAATACACGTTCTCTCAGTGCAGAGATCTGCTGTTTCTGCAGAAAGGGTGAGAAAGGCAGCCCTCACCACCTAACCCTGAGTATTAGAAAAACAAGATTTTTCAAAGCAAAGTTCTAATGATGCTGTTAGATACATGGTGGAGGGTCCCACTTTAGTGGAATGTGTGTGTATAGAAACATAAAGGGCTTCCCAGAAGCATGTTTGGAAAGGAGGAGGAGGTCCAGCAACACCGCTCACTCACGAAGTGACTTTCAGGGGCGGCTTTTGTGATGTGTTCGGAGATGATCGCGGTCTCGGAGACGGTAAGTGCAGCGACTATGCTGGGTGCTTATGGCTGCCTTGTTGTCTCTCCTAGCCTGATGAAAGATGACTTTTTTAAACCACCCATTAACCAGCTCAGCTTGAACTTCCTGGACCAGGAACTAGAGCGAGCCTACAGGACCAGCTACCAAGAAGAGGTGCGTCTTTCCTTACCCTTTGCAAATAGGCGTTGTGTCCACTGGGTGCACCACTGCTGGTTTGGTGTCTTAGCAGTGACAGGAAAAGGAAGACCAATACTGATTTCCCATCATCTCTAAGCCCTGCGTTGTACGTGTATGTGAATTTGTCTTCGCCAAAGAGGGGATATCAAATCTTTGTGTCCTCTTGTCCTACAGCTCAGCCTTCTCAGCCCTGTCATTGGCTAGTCTCTTCCCATGGTGGCTGGTCTATTTCCAGGCCCCCAGTTGCCCCCTCACCCTGGAGGGCCCTGCACAGTAAAGGAGAGCTCTAGCAAGAGCCCAGGCTCGCCCTGCAACGGGCTGCTCCCCTGTGCACCAGCCTGCTTTCCGCCTCCACTGAAATGGTGCACGCAACTCAGGTGTTCCGCCTTTCTCTATAAGACTGGCTCCAGGCTCCCTCCTGCCTTAGGCCTCAAACACACCAACAAGCACCTCCACAGCCTTAACCCCTATTGTCCCTTCACTCTTGGCTCAGACACTGTTGCTGCCAGCAAACTGCCAGTGGCCCCCTGACTGGGTCACACACCCCTGTACATGTCGTCTTCTCATGTATCCTGTTTTGGCGTCATTACTTACATAGCTGTCGGGTCCTAGCTCTCTCCCTAGATGCCAGATGCCCCGAGGCTTGCTCTTGTTCTTGTTCTGACCTTTGTGTTCCCCGACACACACTGCTGCTCAGGAACAAGAACCTGGAGCCTGGCTGACGGCCGAGCTGCCACATCCCTGCCTTCTGTCCTCCAGCCATAGACCTAACCTCTCCTCGGGTCACAGGGTCTAAAATGCACATCCTGCCGACCCCAGAACCAAGGCCTTTTTCGCTCAGCTTTCTTCACTCCTCCAACACTGACTGAGGCTCTGGGGACAGCTGTGAATCAGACAGTCCCAGGGCTCAGGGCTTGGAGGGGCCAGGAGAGAAGTAGGCCTTGTTGGATGGAGGTGCCCCAGGGTGGACAGGCCCCCAGTGGGCATCGTTGCCTGCCGCAGTTCTAATACCTTTAGCAGGGATTTCAGAGCAAGAGCAGACTGGCCCCTGAAGTGCACAGCCCACAGCATAGCCTCTGAGTTTCTTGCAGGAGGGACTTTGGAGCCAGGGGGCTTGCGGTCTGAGCCCCTCGGGGCAGTTTCAGAGCTGACCAGCGGCTGCTGCCACCTTGTCTGGGCACTTCTTCCTTCCCTTGGAGGTCAGCCCCACAGACAGGACACTTCCATGACACGATGGATGGTGTGGACACCACAGCCCATTTGTCCTGAAAGGAACACCCACCTGTCCGAGGCCCGGTTCCAGGGTCTCTCAGCAACACAGCCACCAACTCAGCGAGCGATCGGAGCCCTGCCTTGGGCGGGGGTGGTGAAGGGACAGCACTGAGGTCTTTGTAGCTTTCCTTCTTCCTCCAAATGGCGTCTCCCTTTAGGGACTGGGTTTTCATCCCGAGAGGCGCACAGGACAGTGGTGGAGGGCAGGGACTTGGAGGTCAGTGTGTCTGGGTGGGATCCTGGCCCTGTGCTGCTCAGCTGTGTGACACCGGGGTGGCCACTCAGCCTTGGATTCCCAGTGTGCGCACGGAGTTGGCAGCCTCCCTTCTCCCTGGGCTGCTGTGAGTGGTGATCAGAGCATGCCCCAGTGGCTTCACCTGGGCCACTCCTATCTCAGGCACGACAGCTCTGTGGGTACTCGCCCCCTCCTTCCCCTGTGGTGCCCAGAACGGCACACGTGCCTCCCCGTGCTCAGAATGCTGTCCTCCCCTGTGATGTCCATCTGATCCCCTCCTGGGCCATGAGCCCTCCAGCGGTGCTGTCAAATCACTGTACTTGCACCTGGCACCAAGCCAGGCCCAGAGCGGGTTCCAAATGGGGTGGGGAACCTTCACCCGTGGTCAGGCAGTGCTGGGATCTGCCCCTGCATGAGTCCCCGCTCACTACCCCAGGCCTGGGTCCACCTTCCACACACCCTGCAGCTGGGACTCAGCAGCTCCCTGGACACCTTCTGTGTGTGGCTCTAGCAGGGCTGGCTTTACTGAAAGGAGCCCTGGTGGTGCAGTGGTTAAGTGCTTGGCTGCCAGCTGAAAGGCTGGCAGTTTGAACCTATCAGGCACTCTGTAAGAGAGAGACTTGGCAGTCTTCTTCCATAAAGATGACCTGTGGACTGTGGGTAGGAATCGACTGGATGGTGGTGGCTTGGTTCAGCTTCACTGAGGCAGAGGTGTAAACTGGCCAACAGCCACTCGTATTTCAGGTTAAACACATAACATGCCAGGGAGAATCCACCAGTTCATAACCAGTCACTCTGTGACCTTGGGCCAGTTCTTCCACTTCTCTGTGCCTCAGCTTCCTCCTTGTTAAATGGGATAGTGACAGTCAGAGGTGACCCACCTGAAGCACCTCTGGCACTGAGCCTGTTGGAGGAGACACAGCCTAATAAGGCCTCACTGTTTTTGTACGTGAGTTACACACACGGCCAGATGTCGCCACCCACTTCACACCCCCATCTTCCTCCCCTGCTCTGAACAGGTCGTCAGGAGCGCTCCCGTGAAGACTTTCGCCAGTGCCACCTTCAGCTCCCTCCTGGATGTGTTCCTGTCAGCAACCGTGTTCCTGGTCCTCTCTGCCACCTGCTTCCTCAAGTATGGGGCCACTGCCTCACCCCCGCCACCTGCTGCCCTGGCCGTCTTCAGCGTCGCCCTGCTGCTGGAGGTGCTGTCCCTCGTCGTCTCTGTGAGGTAAAGCCGGCCACAGGCGGCCCTGGGCTCTTAGCCTCCAGCTTCACCCGCAGCACAATGGCTTGGCTTCTCTGGGCATATTCCAGGGCACAGCCTCATGGCCTCCTCTCCCTGTGCACGTTTCCAAGGTGCCCTACCCACAGACATGGCCTAATGCACAGGTGGACACCCTGCTGCCCGACCGTCCCCAGTGATGCCCTGGGTATCCTGAACCAGAGACTGAAGAAGGGGGAGTGGGGGATGGGATATAAGAAAGGGAGAGAGGAGTGGGGCACGGGGGCCGGGTGGGACATGGCAGTGGCAGCCAGCAGCCGTCAGCGCCTCTGCTAAACGTGAGAGCTGAAAGGATCATGCTCTCAGGAGCCACAGCCATGAACCTTTGTGACCTGGGATCAGGCAGAGATTTCTTGGCTAGGACACTAAAATGCAGGCAATAAAATAAGAAGTAGGCGAGTTGGACTTCATCAGGATTCAACACTTTTGTGCTGCAAGGGATACTGTAGTAGTCGGGGTCCTCCAGGGACACAGAGTTAAAAGGGTAGACAGAGGATGCGCACACGGACGGACAGACAGACGTAGACACAGGCATAGCTCAGTTTACTGTTCTTCCCTGCATGTTCTACAGTGCGAGTGTTTGTGGCAACCCTGCATCAAGCAGGTCTGTTGGCACCATTTTCCCAGCAGCATGTGCTCACTTCCTGTCTCTGTGTGACATTTTGGTCATTTGCATGACATTTCAAACATTTTCCTCGTGCTGTTGCACACTGAATATCAGCACACTGAATGTCATGGAAATGGAACAGGGACACCAAAAACTTCATGTGCCTGCCTTATTGTGATAGTCGCTTTATTGCAGTGGTCTGGGACTGAGCCCTCAGTGGCTCTGAGGTCTGCCTCTACGTGCATGTGTATTAGGGGTGGCGGGGAATTTATTTTAGGGAGTTGTCTCACATGATTGTGAGGACCAGCAAGTCTGAAACCTGCAGGGCAGGCGGGCGGGCTGGAGGCTTCAGCGGGATGTCTGTGGTACAGTCTGGAGGTAGAATTCTTCCTCAGCTTTGGCCCTTAGGGCTCCAGCTGATGGGATGAGGCCCACCCGTTATGGAGAGTGGTCTCCTGTCCTCAGGGGTGCATGATGGTAGATTCCGATCCTGTCAGCAGAATGCCTTTGCAGCAACATCTGCACTAGTGTTTCCCCAGAAACACCTGGGCACCAGAGCCTGGCCAGGTGGATACATGAAAGTGACCATCACAGATACTGTCTAGAAAGCGAAAGGACAACCCACAGGATGGGAGAGCCTGTTCTGTCAAAATGCAACGAGGACCTTAAAATGAGGCCTGATGGGCTCAGCATAGCCAGCTTACTTGTCATCTACCAGAAGCGAGGGGTGGGGCCCTGGAGGTGAAGCAGAGATCTGGGCCTCCAGTTGTCTGTACCTGGGGCAGCCCATCCACAGCCCCTTGGTGGCGACCACTCGCTCCCTCGCTCCTTCACGGCCCCTCGGGGATGCCTGCTCACCCCCTTGCCCCTTCATAGCCCCTGGTGGTGCCTGCTCGCCCTCCCACCCCATCCGTCCCAGCCCCTCGGGGCACCCATTCACCCTTGCTCTTAACCCACTCAGCCCCTTGGCAGTACCTCCTCACTCTCTTACCTGTCACAGGATGGCATTCTTCCTGGAGGACGTCATGGCGTGCACTAAGCGCCTGCTGGAGTGGGTCGCTGGCTGGCTCCCGCGGCATTTCATTGGGGCGATCCTGGTGTCACTTCCCGCCCTCGCCGTCTATTCACACATCACCTCCGAGTTTGAGACAAACATACAGGTCAGTATGGACGGGGTGGCTGTCTAAGTCTACGAGTGCTGCTGTAGCAGGTACACCCCAGGTGGGCAGCTTCAGCAAACGAGTTACTCTCTCAGAGTTTGGGAGGCTCGAAGTCTGGATTCAGGGTGCCCCCTCCGGAGAAAGCGCTCTCTGTCGGCTCTCGGAGAAGCCCTGTCTCTGCTTCTGTTGCTCTGGTCCTTGGTGACTCCACGTGACATCAGTGCTTCCCCGTGTGCTTGCTCACCTCTGTGTCTAACCTGCTCTCTTCCGTCGCAAACATGGTTAGGTTAGGACACACCCCACACTGATAGGGCCTCATTAACGCAACACAGGAAACCCTAGTCCAAGCGGGGTTACATCCACAGGTCCAGGGGTGAGTTTCCAGCACATTTTGGGAGCACCGTCCAGTCCTGGACAGTAGCTGTTTTTCTGTGCCTTTCTGGTCTCCCTAGTCACTTTTTTTTTTTTTTTTTTTTTAATAAGCTTGATTACTTGGACTGTAATTTAAATATAGACCCTTAAAAGTGGTACCTAGGAGCTCTGGTAGCATAGTGGCTAAAGCACTTGACTGCTCACCAGAAGGCTGGCGGTTCAAACCCACCAGCCACTCCTCGGAAGGAAGGTTGGGCAATCTACTTCCGTAGTGATACTGCCTCGGAAACCCAAGGAGGGGTCGCCATGAGTCAGGGCCGACTCGACGGCACATAACAACAACAACAACAAAGTGGTACCTAAGTGGTCCTGGTGGCACAGTGATTAAGCGCACAGTGTGAACTCACCAGAGAAACCTGGCGATCTGCTCCTGTAGAGACTGCAGCCTGGGAAACCCGATGGGGCAGTTCTGCTGAGTCACGTGGGGTCCCTCTCAGTAGGACAGAGCACAACAACAGCAACAGAGCAGCACAAACCTTGTGTTCATACTTCTCTTTGTAAGAAAGTCTGCCTGGTCGAGAACCAGGCAGGGAGGCTCAGCCTGGGTCCCTTGTGGGGGTTCAGCCCTGTGACTGGCCACGCTCGAGAAGACACCACTGTGGCCTGGGAGGGCCCCCCACGGGTGACAGGCCTGCTCCGACTTCCCTGGCCTCCAGCAGCTTCCCCATCAGTTATTTTCTTACACGTTTCCCAAAGAAGCAGTGAAGCACTCTGCTTCATAAAGATTTACAGCCTGGGAGGTCTTATGGAGGCAGTTCTATCATGTAAGTTGTCATCTACTCCGTGATGGTGGGTGGGCTCCCAAAGAAGCATTGCCCGTTTCTGAATGACACATAGTAATGAATTTATTTGCAGAACTGATGTGAGTAGTTGCTTTGTACCTAGGTGAGTGGCTCTTCATCAGAGAAGAGCAGGCCAACACCAAGGCGGCCTCCTCAGTGAGGGCTGGCGCCAAGTGGGCCAACACCAAGTGGGCTGACACCGAGTCGGCCTCCACGGCATTGGATCCTTTAAAACCAAATTACGCTTCTGGTGGTGGGCAGCAGGGGGCTGAAAGGAAAAGCTTTTTGAAGGTAACTGTGCATGCAGGAGTCATTGTCAGTGGGGCAGTGTACCTCTTCTTTCCACCAAAATACATGCCCAGTTTTCACCCCCCTGGAGGAGAGTTGTACTGAGTACCAGTGTGAACTGGTACATTAAGCTCTGGGTGATCAACATAACCTCTGGGACATCTTTCAAGCAGCATGACTAACCAACAGTAACAGTTACACAGACATCTAAGCAAGTCTCTGATAGCAGCAAGATTTTTATATATTAAAAAGAAATATAGGTAATTTAATGTATTGGGTCTACTATTAAAAAATACCACAAATTAGATGCCTTTTAAGAACAGAAATGTATTGTCCCTCAGCTCTGGAGATTGGGAGTCCGAGACTAGGGCGTGAGCTGTGTTGATTCCTTCAGAGGCTTGGAGCAAGAATCTGTTTGTGCCTCCCTCCCAGCTTCCCACAGGTCAGGAGCTCCCTGGCACGCAGCCAGTGTCTTAGCCCATCGTCCCTCTGTGTCCCTCTGTGTCTCTTCTCTTTTGTAAGGATACCACCATCCTGGGTAGGACCCACCTGCACCAGTATGACTTTATGTTAACCTAACTGATAACACCATCAAAGATCTTATTTCCAGATAGGGTCACGTTCACAGGTAACAGAGGTCAGGACTTCCTCACATCTTTTTGAGGAGGAGGGCACAGCTCAATACGTAACAGTGAACAGACTGTCCCTCTCAGGATGTTTAACTGGGTGCCGCCGGCCAGCCCTGCAGAGGTGGAGGGTGGAAGGTCCTGACGGGGTTTGTTGTCCGCAGTTCACCACACTCGTGTGCTCGGCCATCCTGATCACCGTCGTGCAGTATTGCAACTTCTGCCAACTTAGCTCCTGGATGCGGTCCTCGCTGGCCACCCTCGTCGGGGCTGGGCCCCTGCTCCTGCTCTACATCGCCCTGTGTCCAGACAGGTATGTGACTGTGTGACTGCACCCACAACCAGCACCCATGGTAATAGGCAGCTCTCCTACCCTCCCGCCTCTCAGCCACCTCACTCTCTTCTGTAGCAGATACTTATCACCCCAGCAGGAGACTCGTAGAGAAGATAACTTTCAACACACATCAAGTCAGGAAATCACCAACGTGCCCAAAGAGTAGCATAGAGGCCCAGGCTGTGCGAAGGGTGAACGTGCTCGGCTGCCAACCAGAAGGTCGGAGGTTCACGTCCACCCAGAGGCACCTCGGAAGAGAGGCCTGGCGATCGGCAGGCAGACCTTGTTCTGTGGTGTTTCACTTGATTGCACTTTGCAGGTGCTGTGTTTTTTACAAATTGAAGGTGTGTGACAAGCCTCCATCGAGCGAGGCTGTTGGCACCATTTTCCCAGCAGCATGTGCTCACTTCATGTCTCTGTGTCACACTTTGGTCATTCTCCCAGCATTACGGACTTTTTCACCATACTGCTGCACAGTTCATAGACTTCAGTAGAGCTGCCACATGACTTATATATGCACCGGGAAACCACACATTCTGTGTGGCTGGCTTGATTGCAGTGCCCTCTTTATTGCAGTGGTTTGGAACTGAACCTGCAATATCTCCGAGGTCTGCCTGAACGTCCGAAAACTCAACCACGGGAAACCCTGTGGAGCACGTGGCTTGCCTAGTGCACACTTGCAAGTGGCTTTGTGGCTGTCGACCTCTCAACTAAACGTAGTTGAGATGTAGTGATGCTTAGGATAGCAGACTACACACAGCGAGCAACTTACTGAGGATTCTGCAATGTCTTTAACCTTCTCACTTCCAAGTACTTGGCTTTTGTGTGACTGCTCATACAAAACGTTTCACTGTTAGCATGTATTAAAGAACAACCTGGTAGGATGTGACTCAGGGCATCTTCCCACCAATAACAGTATCCTGCCAAAGCCGTCCACAGTGCTTTTCAGAATGACTCTCTACTTTCTCAGCAGGCTTTGGGGTTTGTCCTGATCCCAAACGTGATGTCCACAAACCCACAGGACATCATGGATAAGTTCTAAGAGCAACACAGTGTTCTGGGTACTTTCTCTGTTGGCGTTTGTTGACCTTGATTGTGCCTACTTTCCATGGCCGTTAGGAAGGCCTTGGGCATTGTTACCATTGTTACCATTTTGTTATTCCTAATGAGTTAGCACACAGTATAGCATTACAGTGGTTTAATTTGATCTCTGTGTGAAGACAAGGAGAGCTGCTGTTTAACTGTTGCTACTGTATGTAAGGCATCTTTCATGTTAATACTTTCTGTGTTTTCCTTTCAGTTCCGTCGTGATCACGCACCTTGACACGGGACAGAACCTCAGGTCAGTGTTCAGTGCTGTGCCTGCGTCACAGTAAACAAGAGAAGCTTATTTCTGAGCTTCCTGAAAACAGTGTGTCTTGAATGAAGTGAACAGTGTGTGTGCATGCCAACAACAGGAGGACGTGGAAAATGTTACTTGTTAACGTATCAGATCACAGTTTTGGCATCTTTCTGGGAAAATAAAATGATTGTTAGAGTTAGTTAATTAAAATGGACCTTTAAACATGTTACAAAGGAAATCTCACAAACCAAAGAGAAGTTGTAGTACAGTGTGCTCTAAGTGATCTCGGGGTAACTGGCAAGAAATCGGAAAGGACAGTTGTCAGCCCTTCCTCTACCATAACTGAAGGAGCTCTGGTGGTGCTGTGGTCACAGCATTCAGGTGAGAACCAAAAGGTCAGTAGTTCAAACCCACAGCCACTCCACTGGAAGCAGGTGAGTCAGTCTTCTTCCATAAAGATCAATAACCTTGGAAACCCTCTGGGCCAGTTCTGCTCCATCCTGAAGGGTCATTATGAGTCAGAATCAACTCAGTGGTAGTGAGTTGCTTTTTTGTGTTGTTGTTACTCTAAACATCAAAGTAAATTCTAAAACTTAAGAGTCAAAAATAAAAATTAAACTCTATAAAATCTTGAAAAAATAAAATTAAATAGTTGTCAAACTTTTAAGGTGGAGATAACATTCCAGTCTTTGAAATAATAAGTAAAACCACAAAAGACAGGACTGACTGTTAGGGACAAAGCAAGTGAAAGCGGACTGGGAATAGTACCTGTGGTGCTGTTACATAGGGTCGCCAGGAGTCGGAAGTTACTCAGTGGCAGCAGGTTTGTTTTATTTGTCATTATTATGTAAAGAGCTAGTAAAGAAAGACGAAGATAAATTAAGGACAGAAGCTCATGGGAAAAAGTGAAATGTGGGGAGAAGACATACAAGGAAGGACAGTCAGTATCATGACTGTGAAGTCATCACCAATTTAAATCCTTTTGGTCTTTTAAACTGGGCCAAGGAGTAGGAATGTTAGTGCAGGTGCAGGAAGGTTGCGTTACATTCTGAACCATCATCGACATCTCGTTTGTATCCAAAACCTAAACCAAACTCACTGCAGTCGAGTTGGTTCCAACTCATAGCAACCCCCTTTGGGTTTCTGAGGCAGTAAATCTTTATGGAAGTAGATTGTCCCATCTTCTTTCTGCAGAGTGGCTGGTGGGTTTGAACCGCCAACCTTCTGCTTAGCAAATGCCTTAGGCCTATTGTTGTTGTTGTTGTTGTTTGCCGTCGAGTCGGCCCCGACTCATAGCGACCCCTCCTTGGGTTTCCGAGGCAGTATCACTACGGAAGTAGG